AAAAACTTTTTTAATAAAGTTTCTATACTTGTAAATTGTTATTATAAGCTGGGTGAATAGTTTTATTCTTCTGAAACATGACTTATTTTACTTCGAAGTTAAACTATAAGAGAAATAATAATATGTGAATTATGCCTGTTGATTGGTTGTATAGTTTAATGATTATCTATCTGTTTATATCATGTGCCAACAATATGGTTTTTGATTGGTTGATTGCTATATGAAAAATCCTGTACTTTTCTGAAAAATACGAAAGTCTCCCCTGCTATTTATTAGGCTTGTTTTATAAATATAAGAAGGGGGCTAGTTTTTATACCCCCCAAATTTATTATTCATACCCCTCTGCAGATTTAACTTTTTTTTAAACTTTGAGTGAAGATATCTCAATAATTACCAAGCCAAATTTAATAAACTTTTTTTTCTTTGAATTCTATAGATTCATAGAATTCAAATAAAAAAAAAGTTCATTAAATTTGGCCCAGTAGTTACTGAGATATTTTTGCTCAAAGTTTGAAAAAAAATCAAACTGTTTATCAAAACAAATAATGCATAATTTTCTTTAAACTTTGAGCGAGAATATCTCAGCAACTATTAAGTCAAATTTGATGAACTTTTTTTTGTTTGAATGCTATGACCCTATAGAATTCAAATAAAAAAAATTTATTGAAATTGACTTGGTGGTTGTTGAGATATCTTCACTCAAAGTTTTAAAAAAAATTCAAACTGTTTATCAAAACAGAAGCTGTGCCAAACTTTTTTACTAACTTTGAGTGAAAATATCTTAACAATCAGCAAGCCAAATTCGATGAACCTTTTTTTGTTTCAATTCTATGTATTTATAGAATTTAAACAAAAAAAAGTTCATCGAATTTGGCTTGCTGGTTGTCAAGATATTTTCACTCAAAGTTAGTAAAAAAAGTTTGGCGCAGCTTCTGTTTTGATAAACGTATTGAATTTTTTTAAAACTTTGAGCGAAGATATCTCGACAATCACCAAGACAATTTCAATAAATTATTTTTTATTTAAATTCTATAGGTTCATAGCATTCAAACAAAAAAAAGTTCATCAAATTTGACTTAGTAGTTGCTGAGATATCTTCACTCAAAGTTAAAGAAAATTATGCATTGTTTGTTTTGATAGACATTTTGATTTTTTTTTCAAACTTTGAGCAAAAATATCTCAGTAACTACTGGGCCAAATTCAATGAACTCTTTTTTATTTGAATTCTATGAATCTATAGAATTCAAAGAAAAAAAAGTTTATTAAATTTGGCTTGGTAATTACTGAGATATCTTCGCTCAAAGTTTAAAAAAAAGTTAAATCTGCAGGGGGGTATGAATAATAAATTTGGGGGGTATAAAAACTAGCCCCCTATAAAAATTGTCTTGATTTGCATGTTACACGGATTTACAAATTAATCTACACTACGTCTATACCAAACTTTATAATAAATTTGTTAAAAAAAGTTTATTATATAGAATGGAAATTCAAAATTCTGACCATTTATTGCTTTTTAGACACCGATACGGTCATACTTTAAAATTTTAACATAATGGATTATTATTAAGATAACATAAGAGCAATTTTGAATAAATTTCTTGAATGATCTGATTATTCTAATATAACAGTTGCCCCAAGTCCTTCTAAAGTTTTTTTGATCTTTTCGGCTTCTTCTTTGGTAACATTTTCTTTGATAGTCTTAGGTACACTTTCAACAAATTTTTTTGCCTATAAAAAAAAAATAAAGATGCATAAAATTAATAATGTATCAAACACTAATAATGTATAAAAAAAAAAATTAATAATACGCGAAAATTGATATATCAGCATACCTCAACGAGGTTTGTACCCGGTAAAATATTCTTCATTTCACGAATTATCTTTGTCTTTGCATCAGCATTATATTTTTCCAGTTTTACAGTAAACGCAGTCTTTTCAGGAGCTTTTGCCTCCTATATGAGATTACAAAAAAATTAATATATCTAAGATCAATTGAATATAGATTGTCTAAGCATTATTGAAACATACTTCGACTGGAGCGGTGGCTTCGCCTGCTGGAACCGCGATATTGGCAACGTTGCTAACTGTGGGTAAAACCACGTCTTGAATATTCAAGCGAGTCTTCGTAATGATACAAAAATAACAAATAAAACATTTTTAACGTACTGTATTAATCTTTGATTTAAAACAAAGCTAAAAGAAAATTACTTTTAACGATTGCACAAGTTCAGCAGTTTCAATTAAAGTCAACGAAGAAATTTGGTCGACGATACTTGTAATTCGAGCATTGGTCACTTCTTTATTTGGCGACGGAAGTGTAGTTGTTGAGCGGAGCCCCTTGCGAAAGACTAAACCCCTGACGAAACTTCTGCGAAGGACGAGACTCCTTGGTGAGAAAACGAACATTAATAAATTATGAGAAAGGTAAAAGCTATATATATATATATATATGCAGTTAGTAGGTAAACTCGATAAATTAAAGTGAAATCTTAAATTTCATCGTGGCTGTTAGCGTGGTTTGTTTAATAAAAACAATGGCTTTTTTTGCATTAACAGGTTTTTAATAGTCTGACTAGAAAACGGGCAGATCAATCGACAGTCGTTGAATGATAATCGTTATCTTTGATTAAAATTTTTTAGATAACCACGTGCTTGTACCGTTAACCAATAAAATTAACCAATAAAATTAAGGAAGGTTCAATTGACGACTATTTTAACATGTGAAATTGCCAATAACAAAAGGCGAAGGTGCGTACGTAGTGTAGTATTCATGGGATAAAAAGGAAATTTGATCAATTAGTGCTCTTACAGTATTTGACGTTGGATTTTGAATACCTTGGTGGTGCTGGTTGTAGTAACTTTAATTACGACAATATCATATAAAAGGTTACGATAAATCTGTTTTTTAAATATATATAAAGTGCAATTGATTCGTAATTATGATAATGACATAATTACGCCAGCATCACTAATCTTGCTTGCGTAAATAAATTAATCAATATAAAATGTTTATCTGTTTTATCTCTCGTCAATTTCATTCGTCATTTAATGAAAACGAAATTGAGTTTTGCGCAAAACCTCCCGGTTTATCTAACAACTACAGATGGAAGTTCAGCAGGAGTTGCTTCAGTGGCATGATCAATTGATTTTTAAACCGATGAGCTAGAAGCTAAAATAAATCAAATGTGTCGTCCATTCTTATAAAAATTTTAGGCTTGTTATCAGAAAACAGAATCGCGACTGTAATATTAAAGCAAAGATGAAGAGAACACCAGTATATATGCCTGAATTTTAAAACAAAGTTCGAAATCTAATCTTAGTTTCACACCCATTAATTGTACAACCCTTTTCAAGGATACAATGCATATAGTTATTTATTTATTAATTTATATTCTCACGTTATATGTAATAGTTCTAATACAAACCATCTATCTACTCGACATCCTTCTTTATTGGCCTTGCGTTAAAAATGTCAGTAAACTCAACCAAGGTTTTTGAAGATAATTCTTTTTTGCCAGTTGTTTATGAAGCCAACTTTACCGTTGACTTAGGTAATTTTTTACATCACCAGAGACAACTGAATTGTAATGACATTACATAATGATATATATTTTTTTTTTATAATAGAAATTTTTGAAGAGTTTGAAGCTTGGCTACAGGAATACCTTAGCACCACTTTAAATACCAAACCTGGTTTTCGTGACGCTGAAGTGTTTCAACGTGACCCACGAAATGACGGTGGAGACCCTGAAGTTAAGAATCCTGATCGAGTTCACAAATATATTACAGTGCTTTTTGAAATAGACAATAAAGAGAGTATTGATCGTTATTTAAACGAAGAGGTAATGCAATATGAATACAAAGGCTAATTGTGTTTATTCTAGCATATTCTACGATTTTCATAATCTAGTAAATTTGTAATAGTTATTAATCTAATCATGTTGATTTTTCCCTACCTAGTCTTCTAAAATCAAAGAAGCGTTGGAAACCAAATTTAGCGCAAAGAATTCGTTGGTGATTACTTCACACCGTATTTTATACCCTGTTTCGCTGTGGGCTAAAAGAAAAAGCCTAGAAAAATCGGTTTGAATAATTCGTTTTATCATTTTACGAACCTTTGTCTATAATGAATATTTTACATATTAAATAGCATAGTTATTTATTTTGCTGTTTTATATGATGCATGTGTTAAATGAACGCATATTTTTTAATTGGTCTTGTTTTTTTTTTTTTTTTTAAAGAGATATATATCTATCTAACAAAAGTATTTTATCAAAACTAAAGTACACTAAATCATGTATAGTTGAAGCTCAATAACTAAATAATATGGAGTAAAATATTTATTTAAAAAGGATCAGATAACGCGCATAAAATTTGTTCGCAGTTGTGGTGACGCCTTTTTGGGACCTGCCTGGTGCAATTTGATAACATTTGATGTATTAGTACACAATTCCGCCGCAGAAAAGTGTACATTTAAAGGACGAACAAATTTTCTCTAATATTGTTCTACTACAATTGGATTTATCTGGCTTATATTTAGGTTGTAAATGTTAATATCCAAGAACATTGACGTATGTTACCTAAACTTTCGAGTAAGTTACTGACCTTCAAAAGGTCATTGGCCAGTCAAATTTCAGAATCGCATGTGATTCTAGCCACGATTATTACAAAGTTGGCGTAGTGTGGGTGTGATTATTTTCTAGAATCTTCAACCTATATGATAATTTTTTTTAGGTTGGTGACGCCAGTTTGCCTATCACTATGTTTGCCCTTGTATTTTTAATCTAATACGTACCAAAAGTTTTCAAATTATTAATCATAAAAGATAACGGGAATTTTCGGGATGGTGATAGTTAAACGAACATACCGTATTTGCCCTATATATGCCCACAGGCGTTATTTTGATATGCAGTCTAAAGAAACTAACGCTAATAATTAATTAATTAATTTCGTCCAATATTTTTTTTTAAATTATGATTTGCATTCGGTTATCCATGGAGAGTTCTTCGCGCGAATATAGTATACTAGAATGATCGTCTAGATTCTCCGGGAGGTATGGCAACTTATAAGTTACCTGCTTTATTAGTGTTATTAGTGTTTAGATATAGCGGATTTTTTTCTCTCAAATATTTTACGTATTTAAAGGTGACTACGTATATACTGTGTATCATCATTATGACAATATATATTGTGTAATATACGATTAATTTAGGATTATTTTATATTAATTAATAATAGCTATAATACGTATATATTAACTTTCAATTTCTTTTTTTGTACAGTAGCATTTAGCCATATAGAGCATAATTTAAAAGGGTGTGTTGCGAAAAGAAAACCAGTACATCTAAATACGTAAAATGATAGAAACGGAATACGTATACGTACGTATGTACAGTACGTAGGCTTTTAAAAATTACCAGTATTAGCGTTAGTATTACAACCAATTATTCTGGGTCGGATTTTTTTCAGAGTTATACGAAAATCCACATTTTCTTTTTGCATAAAAAATTCAGAGTGGTATTCTCTCAATTTGTATCAATAAAACCTAAATTGTACGTAGCAAAGAAATCAGATAATCTCAATGCTGCAATGTATTATACGTAACAGTTTATCTTAATTTAACGAAATGTCAAACCCTGTCTTTTTTCATATATTGTATATGTGTACTCTATCCTAATTTCAAATTTAGTTTGATTACGTACTTTACAAAGTTGTACTACGTATTACAGTTTCTAAACAATATCGATATGTTATGCATAGTAAGATTTCTACGTATGTACGTACGTACGATTATTTGTTTTCATTTGAAATCCTCCTATTGATTATACCAAGTCCATTTGGTTAATTAGGTGGGGTCCATTAATCTTTCCTTTAATTTATATTGCAAGAACAGCATTTTCGAACCAAGAGGAGCCAGTGAATGCCGCAATGCCAAATGGTTGGTGGTCAGCAGTCAAACCAAAATCGGTCCCCGTCGCCACAAATTGTGAGATCATGTCCCAACATTCCCCTCGTTTAAAATTTATTCCATCAAAATTATAAAGAAACTTGGTTTTCTTATCTTTTTTCTGATTTTACTTAACAGGCAAAGCGTTCTTATTCCTATGATGCGGTGATGCGGTACCACTCCATTTTATTTAATAATACAAATTTATAATAGTTTATATTAATTTTAATTAAAAATAGATTAAATAATATCGAAAGTTGTTTAATTGATATGAAAAAGTCGCGGGACGAAGTAATAGCAAATATTGATCAAATTTTAGAACGGGAGAAAACAAAGCTTGTTTTGGTATGTTTTTTTATTCTTTTAAATAAACTAGTTTTACTTGTATATGCATTATTATCAATTTTATCAATTACCATTTAAATATTTAGGAAAAAGAGAAAAGTTCCAGTGAATTAAGGCTTTCTAGATATCGTGCTGAAATTGCTGACCAGAGCAAAGCACTTGAAGAAGGTGTGTATCAATTATTCCTATTTAACCTTTTATATTCTGTGTCACAATATAATACAATATAATGTGGTGTTTATCTGATCATAAAAATATATCTTATTCAAGATCGACAACGTATAAATTCTTTACGTGAAAATATTCGATTACGTCGTGTTGCTTTAGAAGATGCGAGAAGTCGTTATCAAACAGGAAATGAATATTTGGAGGAAAGCCACAAGCTATTGGAACGAGCTCGGTTTGTTTTGTTAGCCTTACGATTGGGTTTTGAAATTTTTTTTTTATTTGCAGATGGTCGTATTGAATAGGGTTGATGTTCTTAGCGAAGCACTCTTCGTAACAACATCTAAACTTTGCGCTCGCCAGAAGGAACTAGTTGCTGACCTACTCACTATATATCCTATAGAGCAGGTAAATTTTCAGTCTTTACAATCATAAAAAAAAAAACTTATTTTTAACCTTATTTTTATTTGTACAGATACAGTCAGAAACTTTCTCTTTCAAAATTCTCGGTGTTCCGTTACCAAATTCAGTATTCACAGGTGTTTATATATTAATACTAATAAGTAGATTTGTTTAAAGGTATAATACTTATAAATATAATAAATATAATAAATATATTGAATATATTTAATTATTAGGATGTGATGAAGATCAAGTTGCTACAGCATTGGGATTTACTTGCCACCTCATTCACATGCTCGCGTATTATCTTGATGTGCCTTTAAGGTTTCCAATGATTCCTATGTCTTCTAAATCAATAATACGTGATCCAATATCGACGTCTTTATCAAATTCAAGACAGTAAGTCCAACTGCTCCAAGTTGATTGATTGATTGATTAATTTCATCTGTATAAAAATGGTTCGTGGTAGCTTGTTTGAACGACGTCTGTAATTATAAGAAATTATATATAATATCCCATACTCAGGTGTCATGTTACAGAATTTGTAACATGCACAAGACCATTCAAATGGGTCATCAACCGGATCATATTTAATATTAACTCATGGGAAGGTTTTTACCCTAACAATCAACTTGGAGCGCTGTAATTATCCTACTTTCGTTTTAAGAATCCATGTGTTTGACTTGACTTTTACTAGTTATAACAAATTTTTCTTTTTTTTTTTTTCTTAGATTTCCCTTATATTCTAAAGGTGTCGATCGTTTTCGATTTGAATATGCTGTGTTTTTATTAAATAAAAATATAGAACAGGTATATTTTTGTTTGACTGAGTTTGGTATTATTAAATATACAATTGAGATAGTTTCTTCACCGATTTATTATTATTTTTTTTTAGTTGATGAATTCTCAAGGTTTACTTGTAATGGATTTGAGGCACACACTCCCTAATTTGAAGTACCTTATTCTTAGCGTGATATCACGCAAAGTTGTTTCTTATAATTACAAAAGTGCAAATAAGGTTCGTCTAAAACCGTGCCCAGTCACGTGAGTATATGATCTACGGAATCACATGGTGTATGAATACCATCAATTAGCTGATGATTAGTTGACAATTAGCTGTCAATTATCTGACTGATCATTTGTATATTACACCAGGGCCGATGATTTCCTGTGGTGACAACATCTCAAAATTCTGTGATGATTCTCACGGTGTTGTGATTATATTTTTGAATATTTCTGTGGTATTTGCCACCGTCCAATTATGTAATTAAATTTACATGTAGATCTAAATTTTATATTTAAATTCTTATTCAAAATGTTCCTGAAACTCACTGACTGACATGCTCGTAATTTATGTTCTTTCATTATTTACTGTTCCGAAAATTACTGATGCAGGCCTGAATTATATTTCTGGACATTTGTACATATATTTGATCAACTGTTTTTTTTTTTACTTTATTTTTCGTGGTATTCTGTGTAACACATGTATGTGTGATACAGAAAATCATTGGTCCTGTATTACACTAACCAATTAAGAAAAATGGTGCGATTCTGAGAGTGAACTACGTACGTACGTATGTACGGACGTAGTTTATTTCTAATACGTCGACTACGTAGCAAAATTTTTTTACGTACGTACTCATAATAAACTTATTAATAGTGTAATACTGACCAATTAATAATCTTTGTGCTCACCATATTAATTATTAAAATTATCTTAAACAAGATATTTGCATATTAAATAAATATTTACAAGCAAAAATAATTCGAGTTGACGGGCATGGGCATTATTTCGAAACCTGTGCCTCCTAAAAAAATTAAATATGGTTAATTTTGAAATAACGTTTCGAAATAACGCGCATTTGTACAATATAAAAATTAAATCGTGTTTTTCCGAGACTTAAATATTGAATTTGAAAATCAACCTTTCCCAGATTTTCTATGTGCACTCATAATAATTCTGATAGTGTTTTTTTAACTTTTATAATGAAATATTTGCACATGATAACTGCGAAGAGGTTGAAGAATCTTCACATGCAGACAACTTTTAATCAATCATTAAAATTGATAATACTATAAAAAGAAACTCGCGCATTATGACGATTAGAAAAATCAATCTATATTTCAATAAGCAGGGTACCAAAATTAATTGCAATTAATTTTTATCATATGTATATACAATTAAAATCATAAAAAATAATTGAATCAATGATGAAATAAATAGTATTTAATTGCAATTAATTTAAAATTAAATATGTATAAGGTTTTTTTTTTGATATTTCTATTATTACATATTTTATCAAGTGACCACATTCTGTAAACCACAAAAATGCAATTAATTGATTAATTGTGACTGCGCCAGCAATCAATCAATTAATTGAGGTCAAATAATTGCACCTAATGATAATAGTTGTAAAATATCTACCCGGTTACTAAAACATTTAAAAAAAGATTTTTTTTTTCAAACTTTGACCCCGGTTAGTGTTTTGTCTGAGAAGCATATTCCTTGCAATTTTTAATTTAAAACTTCTATAACATTATCAAAAATGGGTGAAAAATTTTACAATTGCGTGACATAGTGGTAAGGAAATTAAGTAATCGAGCATGATAAATTAGTGTTGTTGACTGGAACTTTTACTATTACAAATTTCCACTGGGCTAATGATCAATCAATTCAAAAAAAAAAATATATATACAAAGATAGTCCTAATATGATTTAATGTTTCAAAAAAATATTAAATTAATCTAGGAATTCCTGGCAAATTTGCCAGGATTACGGTGTGAGGAATAATGCTAGAGGTAAATTAAGGGATGGGTACGGGAAAAAAAAATTAGGCATGCCTTGAGCTAAGGCATGCCCCTCATGCCCATGGTATGTCTTTTCTAAATCATGCGACTAACATATAGTTCGCAACTTTTTAAAAATCTTGTATATTGTGTTAGGGAAGATTTTAATACGAAATTAATACAGTAAAC